TGAAACTGGGCCTCCTTGATTCTATAATTCTTTGTTTCCCCCCCTAAGGCAGTAGGGAGCCATTGAAAGAACTTAGAGTTGGGGAGAGATGTGGCGAAACCTGTGTACAGGCAGCAATATAAAACATGAAGGAAGTGAGCTTGTGCAGGTGAGCACTGGAACTTCCTTGAAATTTCACAGATGGCCGATGGCATCACACTCCCTAAATTCCTCAGGCAGTTTATTTGCAAATTTGGTTACCCCAAAACTTTCCTCCTTCAAGAAGCACTGCCTCAAAGGAATTACCAGCTGTAGATATAGATAAAGAATGTGCTTCTTTTGGTTTTACCTTCTTGTTTGGTAAAATGGTAGTTAGGACAGAGAACACATGAGTTACAGAACTGGAAGAGAATTTCAGGAGGCACCTTCACATTCTCCTTAATCCAGTTCCCTTTTACCAAGCTTCTCCCCAGCTCCAGGCACTGAGAGTTCATTCCTGCAGTTTCTCCTTTGCTATTCCCTCCATTGCTTTCCAACATGAGCTCCCTTCTCTCCCACCAGTAATCGTTGAAGAGGAGACCCAAATCCTTTATTCCTGAACTAGTCTGGCCTATATCAACTCCCACCTTCTCTGGCTTCCAATAACAAGTTTTCCTTTGGCGCAGGAAATACCTGTTGATGTCTTCCTAATATTCCCCGAAAGAGAAGATCCCCAGAAAAGAAGATTCTTCTTTGTCATGTGCTTGATAAATATGGAAAGTATTTGTGGATATCTGATCTAAATATTCCTTTATTTAAACTCTTTTTGCCTGTTTTTCCACCAGTGATACTAAGTAAACAATTTCTCATGATCACTCCTAAGTGTGAGTAAGCAAAATTGAGAAATGCATTCTGAAAAGAACACTTGAAATCAAGATTCTCAATAAATCTAGGCTTGTATAAACTGTACTCATGCCACTCAACTCCACTGACCAAGAAAAACCCAACTGCTTTGTTTTAAGCTACCCAAAATTGGTAAGTAACCTTGGTTTTTCATGCGTAAGCCTATAACCCAATAGTATCCCCTTTTCATATATCAAAGTACTATATTATTTTAAATTTCTTTGGCTAAATCCCAAATCACACTCTATATAAATGCGATTTATTTCCTCTATAAAGCTTTCCCTACCTCACCTTAAACTCTTTCTCTGCTGGCAATTCCTAAGGCATAGTTGATCCTTCCCTCCTTTCCCCTTGCCTTTACCTTCTATACACTATTTGTACTTGTCACAGAAGAGATAACTCTCTGTTACATTTCTCCTACCAAGCTGTGAGCTCCTTGTTCATCTGGCTCAGTTAATTTTTGGTGACCATTGAATGAATATATTGATTTCTAATTGTTTTTTTCCTTTGTACTGTGTCCTAAAACTCCCTGATTTAACCCGGAGCTCCCTTCCACAGCACTGTATCTTCTTTAGTAAGTTCTGAAAGATATGAGGGTCTTTGAGATTAAGGATTTCTACACCAGTGCCAAGAATGCCCCTACCCAATGCTACTATCCCTCCTGAGTCATTACAGTTGGAAGTGACTTTCAGTACATCTAGTCCAAGTCCCTGTTTTAAAGGTGGGGAAACTATAATTCAAAGAGGTTAAGTAACTTGCCCTGGGACACTTGGCTGGGGAGAGGCAGGCACAGAAATTGAACTCAGTAAGTGTTCGTTCCAGGGCATGACAATTTTAACCCATGATGAGCCCCTTTTCTATAGTGAATAGCTTCTTTTTCAAAATGAGGCAAGGAGAAGAATGATTCTTGAGCTGAAAGCATGTAGAAGGTATTAGCACTGCTGCTTGTGTGGAGCAGAGAGCCAGGAGACCCAGTCCCAATTCTCACTTTCCCACCAACTTTCAGTATGATCTCTAGTGACTTAAACTGGTCCTTTTGCCCTCTGGGCATTTGGTGTTTCATCAAACAATGGTAACAACTGTCTGACTCGCTGAGTTGGCAGGAGGAATATTTATCCAAGCCTATAAGTACGTAAGGTAATTTTTATTACTTCTTGTGTCTGATGGAGTAGAGTTTAAGCGACGTTCTTTCAATAAACACTGATGAAATGCCTGCTATGTGCAAGACACTGTAAAGAGGACTATGAGGTGACTCCATCAGGTCTCTGGCCCCTCATGGATTACAGCCTTGTTGGGAGTTGGCTGGAGGTGCGCTAGAGAAACTTCAAGAAAGTCAGTGCTACCAAGTAGACAGAAAGGAAGTGCCAAGGAGCACAAAGGCGAGTGTCATCAGCTGAGTCTTGAGATATTAGCAGAACTGAAATGGGCAAAGATGATGGAGAAGGGGAGAAGAAGGGCTGAAGCAGGCAAAGGGCATTCGGGATGGAGCTGAGCAAGGGCTGCAAAGCCTTCTGTGTCCTTGAAGACTAACAAATGGATGTGCTGGGCTGGAGTTGAGTTTCAGTAGAGGAGCAGTAAGAGATGAACCTATCCATATGACAATGTCAGTGACCAAGAATAACAGGGCAAGGAATACGGATTAAGGACTAAGAGCCTAGAGACCCAAGTTCTAGCTCTAGTCTTACTTCACACAATTGAATGGTCATGAAAAACTCACTGCCCTCCCTCAGCTGTAAATTGTGGTTGAATACATTCAATGATTTCTTAGATCTCTTGAAACTGGGCCTCCTTGATTCTATAATTCTTTGTTTCCCCCCCTAAGGCAGTAGGGAGCCATTGAAAGAACTTAGAGTTGGGGAGAGATGTGGCAAAACCTGTGTACAGGCAGCAAGGGCTTGGCACATAGCTAGTTCTCAAGCAGAACAGATGGGGAGGCCACCGAGGCAGAGAAATCAGAAGTACTTGCATGTACACATC